GGGATGAACTAAGGGTTGAACCAATGTACACGCCCATGATCAATTTATGTATCTTATACCTTCAACAATATAGAATAGCATCTACTTTTGGATCTTTGTCAATGATACAGATGAGAAATGATACCTCATTGTAGTTTTAATCTGTATTTTTCTTATTAGGAATGAAACTAAATATCTTTTCAATTCATCTTAATTTAAATTTCATTCTCTGGTTGTTGGTTTTATACTTGATTTATAGGAGCTCTTTATATATTCTTGGAATGTTGTCCTTTGGGCATGATATGAATTCTAACATTTGCCCTTAGTTTGCCATTTTGCCTTTTGACTTTGTTTATGGATTTATTTTCCCATGCAGTTTCAATTTTCATAAAATTAAATTTATCAAAATTTTAAATGTCAAGCAGTTGCATGGAAACATGTAACTCACTTCACCTGTTTAAAAAATCTACATAAGCCAGTGTTACATTTCCTAGAGGCACTAAGAAAGCGAAGGAGTGTAATAGAGGGGGAGAGAGGTAAGGAAAAACATCTATTTAAATAAATCCTCAAAGATGTTTTTTTTTTCTAATTTAAGAAAGATTCTAAAGCTTTTTCAGCTTATTTATAATTTTGTGAGGGTAACAAAATAGATATTTCCACTCTATCCTACCCACTCTAGCTTTTGCAAAGGGCATAAACACCACTACTACCACCACCACCACCATACCACACCACAAAAACAGAAGATTTTAGAGGAGGAGAATGGACAAGGTATGTCTGAAGTAGCCAACGGAAGCCTAGGATGAAGTTTTTGATTAAGTAGTTTCTAATCCTAGAAGACATAGAAAGAAAGGACATCTTTTCAGGCATTCTTTTTTTGGATTTTGGACTTTCAGTTAGTGGAAGAGCTGCATACTTCTGGTAGTGGGGAGAGGACCCTAGTCAAAAATATCAAATGCAGGTTTTTTCCAGCAGGGATGTTAATGGATTTTCTTCCACCATCCAAGAATTCCCACTACCAGCTCTTCTCCCACTTTCTATAGCTATTTTACCTTTCTTTAATCATTACTTGGAAAACATGGGATCCAATCAGTTGCTTATTATTGTCTTTGCTGATGTCTCCTACATCTATGTATTTGGCTATAAAGTCTTTTCTGAGTTGCTGCTGTCCCCTCTACCTCAATATGTCCAAAACAAAACTCATTATTCTTAGAGTAAAAGTTATTCTTATTTCCTGGTTTCATGAAATACTGTGAACGGTGCTAGGAAGGATGATAAAGGCAGTCCCTATCTCAAAGAGATCCCAATCTAGAGGTAAATACATTTTTAAATGTGTAAATATTCACTAGAAGTAGGAACAAAGTACTATAAAAGCACAGAGAAAGTAGTAATCCTGTCTGGACAAAGAAAGAAAATATAAGAGAAGAGATGACATTTGGGTGGCTTTAAAGGATACATTAAACAGAACTGGGAAGACCTCACACCTATAATACAATGTTAAAGGCACAGTGTACCTTAAAAATACTGGGAGTTGAGTTGCAAGAGAATAAAAAGGTAGGCTGTAGCCAGTCTGTAAGGGACCTTATATGCCAAATTAAAAATCTGAATTTATACCTAAAAGCGGGAGAAAGCCAATGGGAGATTCAAAAAAGTAAATTAACATAATCAGATTTTTAAAAAATAGAAGATAACTCTGGGAGTATTATGAAAACTGAATTAGAAACCAGATCAAAGGTTTCTGCAAGAGTGTAGGAAGAGGTGATGGGAATGCACATCATCGGGGTTGAAAGGAATGGAGACGAGAAGCCCTTTTGGTAGGCAGTTAGAAATCCAGGACTCCAGCTCAGGAGTAGGTCTGGACAAACAGAGCCTGGGGACAGATGGCTGCCACACAGATAGGTGATATCAGTAGTGGTGAGGTTACCCAGGAATTGCTGCTGTAGACAAAGGTTTTGGAGTAAAAGGGTCAAGCAGGGAAGCCTGAGAAACACCGAGACTGGAGAGTCAAGCAAAGGAGGCGGAAAACCCAGCAAACCAGATGGAGAAGTAGGAGCAATAGGAAGGAAACCAGAAACCAACAGGCTTGTGAAAGTCAGGAGACAAGACGGTTTGGAGAAATGGCAGGTGGTCAACAGTTTCAATAGGTAAGAGAGGTCAAATAGGACCAAGGATGAAAATGTGCCATGGCATACAGCAATCACTCTTTCAAAAGTGTGGTGAACTAGGGTGGAAATAAGTGGGTAGCTATAGGAAAAAGAGTAATTACAAGGAGGGATGCTTATAGGATAAGATTCTTCCCTCAAGGAAAAGGGATGGTACAGAAAAGAGGGGATGATTAATGGAATAAGGTCCTAGAGGGGGTAAAGGAGGGTGAGGGGGAAAGGATGGAAGCTGCACATCGATGACAGAGCTACAAGGCAGGAGCCTGGATCCCTGATGAGAGCAGAGATGCTATATCAGCCTTAGAAATTAGCCTCCAAACTTCGTTTTTGTGGGAAAGAAATAAATGTCCAACTTGCTGTTTGGTGTTTCCTGTCATTTGCAGACAAATGTAATCCTAACTGATACAGGAGAGAAGGGTGTTGAAAAAAAACAAGCAAGCATCTCTCTGAAATAGCACAGGATGTTCAGAAGACAAGAAGAGCAATTTGGCCTTCTTCGACTACCACTAGTGATCGAGGGAGTGGATTAAGGAAGATGACAATGTAGGCCCAGGTGTGAGGAGTTGAGACTGGATCCTAAAAAGGAGCCACACAGAAAGGTATTGAGCAAAGGAATGACATGTTCCTATTTTAGCTTTGAATAGATTCCCCTGGTGGCAAGCTGGAAGGGGATCATTAGAAATTGGTGACTAAATGACATGGGCAAAGGATTCACAATGAAGCCTAGGTCTCTACTTTGCATTGCTTTTCTCACCCCTCCCCCCGCTCCCCCGCCCCTGTTAGCACTTCAATTCAAGCATGCCATTTCCTTATCATTCATTTAACAAATATTTATTGAGTGCCTCTTCTGTGCCTCCTCCTGCAGATACAATGGTAGAAATGGTCTTTGCCCTCAAAGATCTTAGTTAGGGATACCAGTGCTGGAAGCTTCATACGTGATACGTATCTCATTCAAGCTTCAGGACACCTTATGACAATTTTATTATTATTGCCCTGGTTTTTCAGGTGAGGTAACCCAGTCTTAGAAAGTTTAATAATTTGCTCAAGGTCACATGGCTGGCTAGCTGATAAATGGTGGTGCCAGGAATCAGACACAGAATCATCTTACTTCAAAGCATGTTTTTAATTACTTGGCTATGTTATCTCTCATGCAACTTGGTGTGATGTGTTAAGTCCTATGACAAAGAGTACCGAGGCTTGGATTGCTGCAGCCTCCTAACTGGATATTCCTTCTGCATCTGGCATGTTCCAGCCAGGAAGTTTTTCTAAAATGCACATTGGGGAGGACGGTGGCACCTTCTCAAATTAAGGGCACTCTGAGGAGGAAGATACATGTTTGAATGGAAGGTAATGCATGCAGGCCTTAGCTACGCTGATTTTGAGACACTGTGACATATCCAGATGGACATACCGAGCAGTAACTTCATAGATGAATGTGAAGTTCAGGAGGAAGCAGGTTTGGAGATAAAGCACTTGGCATCACTAGTTCATATAGGTCAGCTGAATTCAAGGTAATTACTGGGAATCTTTAGGAGCTTCTAGAAGTGAGAGGAGCACCCCGCAGTGGGTACAGGCTTGCAGAGAACAGAGTTATATTTGGAATAGTTGATCAGAGATAAAGGCGAGGGACTCAGCCGAAGCAGTCAGAGATACAACTGGGTTGTATTTCGGGTTAGGGACAATGAATTTATAATGATATCAATCTGCATGCCTGAGAGATTTTCTCCAGTCACAATCACTAACTCGAGAATAGGAAACCTTGCCAAAATTTTATTATTTTACCAGTTCTTGTCTCAGAATCTGACTTAAGGCCTTGCCTGTGAGTTCCCAAAGCACTCTGAATTTACCTTTGACCTGCTAATGAACACTTGAACTATCCGGTTCTATTTAACTCAATCTCTGTTTGGACTTGGAAGTCCTCAAAAAGTCCTTTGAGATTTTAAAAACCTGTGTTTTTTAAATCATTTTTATTCCCAGCAACATGCACGGCACTATTTGTACACTTGTCTTCAGTGAATCTGTAAGTCTCTGAGGGGCAGAAGCTGTGACTCTGCACAGTCCTACAGGAACATCCTGTCAGTTCAGTGTCTTGCGCACACTATGCCCTCATTAAACATGTGTGGGATTGCATCGATTTTAATCTGGAAGCTAAAATGTAGAAATTAACTACCTAATACTATCAAGCAGTGATTTTTAAGTTTTCAGATTTGGAATAAAAAGTCCCTCCTTTTTAACCTTTCATCCTGTTTTTCATTAAGTGGTAGGTAGAACAGCACCGCCCCTGTACAAGCCGTTTTGTCTTGGGAGTTTAGGCCTTCCTGGCAGCTCTACAGGCTCTGTTACCATGCGTGAGCTACTAAGCATTTCTGGGCCTTTTGAGTCCATGTTAGTAAAACTCAAGTGATTGGACACAACAATTGCTGATGTCCCTTCTCATTCTAAATCCCAAAGAATCCATGACCTCTGGAAGACCTTTAAACCACATCTGAGAATGACTGCCTTATAAGGAGCAATTAAAACATGGGCTCCATGTTTCATTATTAGAAAATGGGTAAATAAATCCTTTCTCTAGAAAACTGAGTTAAAATTTACAAAGCAGAGGACTTCAAAACTGACGATGCAGACACTTTATATTTAATTATTGCTCTGACTGCTGGTTAAAGCATTTTATCAGATGAAAGTATGTTTTTCCATGGTAGGTGTACCCAAAAATCAAATGAAAGGGCACCACAGTTTACTTTGGTAGTAAAAAGAGCAGAAAGCTGGAAGAATATGAAACATCATCTTGGCTCCTGTATGTATCTTGGTAACACCTTTTTTTTTTTTTAGATGAGCAATCAAAGAGTATAAGTGACTTACTCAAGATTTTAGAAGTATGAAGTATCAGGGCTGGTACTAGAGTCCAGGGCTCCCCGTCATGGACTTTCTTTTTTTAAAATAACCAAATTGGTCAAAAATCTCCTGAAAGACAAAAACAGATGAAGGTGAAATTGTTTGAGTTTAAACAGAGACTACTTTGTTCTTTCCAGGTTCAATAATAAACAATTCTAGTGATTGGCAGGAAGGGCCGCAGATGAAACATTCTGACCCCCTAAACAAAAATATTTGTATTTTTGCACCACAGTTAGTAAGTCAATTGTAAAAATTAAGTAAACGGAAAACAAGGAGAATTAGCAAAGCCAGCAAACAATTTCCCTTCACTCTTTTGGAAAACAGATTGGAAAAAAAAATCCCTGTGGCTGCCTTCATTAGCAGCCAGGGTGTTGAGTCCCATTGTAAATCCCATTTATAAAGGTCCATGGCTACCTGCAGAGCCCAGGAGTACCAATCACATTAGTAAAGACACCAACCAGATGACCAAAGGAAGCCATGAGGGTCTGGGAAAGCTGGTAAACAAAAGGCAGCATTCCAAGTGAATGCCATTGCTGGAGTCTGCATTGTAAAATGCCTGGATTTCAGAACCCTAAAGCAGATTAGCTGAAGGCAACAAAGGATTCAAATAAGATACAAAGAACTCATTTTGACACATTAAGAAACTGTCTTCATTAGATCATCAGGTATTTATGTATAATTATTTTTAAAAAAAATTTTTCCACCTAAATTGTGTTTGAAGCAGTGAGGCCTAGAAGAGCTGGGACCTAAAAATGGTTCTTGAATACTATGTGTTCATGATCAAAATCCATGACCAGCCTTTTCCCTTTTAATCTTCCTGACATTTTAAAGGCCTGTAACAACTTTATAATTTGTTATGCCCATCATTTCAATTTTACCACTTTGCGCACAAGTGCTACTTTAAATACCAACCAGAAGAACTCAGATCTCTCCAACTGTAAGTGATTTTTCTTCCTCATTTTTGCATCACTTACAAAGAAAATAAGTAACACTTTTGGATATGAATTGCCAAAATGAAAAGAAGCAAAACATTAGGCTCTGGTATAATTTCCATCACTTCACATGCTTGTTTTGCTTTGCTTGCAAAGTTCAAACTCAAATACAATTCAGATGCTTAAATTTGAAAATGTGGAAGAAAAACCTTTATTTCCATGTGGACAAGGCTGAGATTTGTTGTTTTTAATTTTGTTTTTCTTTTTTGGGGAGGGGGTTAGGGAATTATGTTAAATAACTTTAATAACTTTCAACATTATTTGCCAGTTTTATTCAATAAGGTATCCATATTGCTAAGCCTAATAACTGGTGTAAAATTTAAATAATTACTTACTGAAAGCCCTGTAAGAAGACATGGGTACTGCTCTGGCCAGGACGCTCAGTTGGTTGGAGCGCCATCCCATACACCAAAAGATTGCGGGTAAGATTCCCAGTCAGGGCATATACCTAGGTTGGGGCGTGTATGGGAGGCAGCCAATCGATTTTCTCTCTCTCTCTCTCTTGCTCTCGCTCTCTCTCCTTTCTCTCTAAAATCAATAAAAACATATCTTCAGGTGAGGAGAAAAGAAAAAGAATACGACATGGGCATTATTTGATAATATTTGATCAAATATGTGTAACATTTGATCAAATGTCCTTTCACTTAACATTTTCAGGTATACAGACCATCAATCATCCTGAAATCTTAAAAATGTATTTAGAGACCCAGCAGATAAGCAGATACATAAAAATGGTTCTGATAATTTAAATAGTCCTAAAAGCCTAAAGCCAAAACTGAGGTATAATAATGAAAACCTTTCCCAATAATTTCTACTGTTTGGAAATTAATTTCTCTTCAGTTTTTTTTTTATTATAATAATCACCCTTCACTAAGAACAAAAGTAATTTAGCTCCCACTTTCCCTTTGAGAGATACTCCCATTGTTTTGTCAAATCCTAGCAAGGCCATAAGCAAGGCAGCACTGACACAGAGGGAAAGAATTTACATCTAATGGTCTGATGTCAGCTGGGGCCTTCAGGCCAGTTGATAACTTTGACTTCATTTGTGTTCAAGTGGAAGAACACTGGAAAAGTTCAATGAGTATGAGCTTTTTGGCTTCACCACGCCTCTAGGTTTAAAATGATATAATAAAAAAATTATAATAAGGTTTAAAATTTTAAAATATTTATTCTAAAAATACAAGTCATTCTTTCTTGTTTGACAGAGGGGAAAGAAAGTAAAGGGACATGTGGCTGAGCCACATTTCAAGTTGGTTGCAGAAGAGCAAACCCTCCCCCTACCATCACCCAACAAACTCTCCACTGAAGAAACCCTTCTCAGTGCTGTGGCCTCTCTGGCCATTTCAGCTTTGTCACACAGACAGTGGCAGAAATATGCCCTACCAAGTCAGTAGCAGTGCATTTTCTCAGATAGCTCCTTATTTGCTGACTATCTACATGGAGAGTCTCCTCTCATTGTCTCATCTACTCCTTCCTTCTCTCTTTGAGAGCCAAGAGGCAGGACCAACAATGGCCTGAGCTTTGCTGCTCCAATGAAAACAGGCAGTGTGGTGAATAACAAATCTGATTAAAATATACTCTACTACTTTACCGTCATTTGGCTTAAGGCTAGTTACCTGTAAAATGGGAATAATATCTCCTACCTCACAGAGTTATAGAGTAGATAATGTATGTGAAGCTCCGGGCATATATTAGGCATACAATAAATGTTATACTCTTCCTTATAGAAATGCTTAGCCACATGAAAAATAATGCTTTTATACTTTATAGAGCTCTTTCATGCAAATTATCTCAGTTAATCTTTCTAAGATTATCCCCCACATAAATACTCATAAGCCAACTACTCAAATGCATTTCTCTGACTCCAGAACCAATGTTTTTTTCTATCGTGCTGCCATGTGAGGGGTTGTAGTGGTGGAGACCACATTATATTCCTCTATCATAAACTCCTGCGGGTGAGAGTAGGGAGCATGAGCTGAATCGGCAGGGATCTTCGGAGCATTCAAAGGAAGCAAAAAATAGATATACAATCAAATAAACCCATACCACTTAGTAAGGCAAAAGCCAAAGGGATAAGCTACCCTTGGGTTCATCAATAAAGTATCCTTTATTGATTAAAAAAAAGCAATGAGAATAAAAATGAAATGATTATAATGTCTGAGGGTCTAGTTCTATATAGGAATGTGATAGTTTTAGGTCAGTCAAAGAAAAAATTATAAAAATAACAGACCTACAAAATATTATCTTCATCTAAGGTTGAGAAAGGTTTCCTGTAATTAGATGCAACCAACATTTAAATTAAGCCTAATTGTCCTAGCTGATTTAACTGAGTGGATAGAGCGTCGGCCTGTGGACCCAAGGGTCCCAGGTTCGATTCCAGTCAAGGGCATGCACCTTGGTTGCAGGCTCCTCCCCGACCTGGCCCTTTTGGGGGCCTATGCAGGAAGCAACCAATCGATGTGTCTCTCTCACATCAATGTTTCTTTCTGTCTTTCCCTCTCTCTTCCACTCTCTCTAAAAAGATCAATGGAAAAATATCCTCAGGTAAGGATTAACAACAAAAAACAATAAATAAATTAATTAACCCAAATTTTCACCTCAGAACTACACTGGGAGTTTTGATACACTTTACTTCATTTAATCCTCACAATAACATTCCAAGATACATAATGTATTCATTACACATGAGAATACAGTCCAGAAATTTGAGTGATTTGTTTGACAAAGCTGGCAGTGCTGAGATTCTAACCTACATCCATTAAACCCTATATGTTGTGTTTTTCAAGCTAAGTTACACTATGTTCTCTACAGTAACAGAAAAGAATATGGGAAGTGGTCCAAACTATAATCATAATTTTATTTATAACTCACGAGAGAACTAATGACTATCAAGTTGGTTAAACATGAGTTTACTTACACAAATTGTGAAAATCCCTAAATAGAAATTTCTAGGTCAGAATGACATCGAAAAATTTTGGTTTAGATTTGAAAACAATTATGAAGTTATTTTTGGTCGATTACATAAGTCATCCTAAAGAAACTGGGATTCCTAGCTCACTCTTACATGCTTCTGTATAACTAAATAAATTTTGACTTTACTATTGGCATTTTTTAAACTTTAAATTTTCTAATAAGATAGATTTAAGACTTAACTCAGAATAGCAAAATTTCATCCAGAAATAAGATCTTCACTCTCTGTTATAACCTTTCATTCTACTACCTAACCTGGGAAAATATTTGTTGAGAAGCAAAAGTTAAGGAACTTCCTAATGAAATTGAGGTCTGTGGACCAATGGTGTAAGTTGGAAGACAAAATGCTCTTTATTTTCGGATAAAAAGTGAAGAAGCCAAGGAGAATCCCAGGAAGAAACAACATGGAGAAACAAATAATCACAGCTATGGATGGAGACAACCTATAGTCAAGTGAGGCGGAGTGGGTCAGTCCTGCCGACTCAGGTGCCCAGAGGGGCTCTGGAAATCACTGCGGGTCAGATGGTGATGACGGGAGGCGGGGGGGGGGGGGGGGGTGGTGGTGGGGGGGGGTGGGGGGGGGGGGGGGTGGTAGAAGTTGCTGAATGATAAGTCAGGAGTCATGGTGTGGAAGAATAGAATGGATGTTCCCATTTGTATCAACAACTGCTACAGCATTTGCTATATTTGATCTGAATGTACCAAACCAGAAAATCTGGTTGCAATTACTTCTGATTTTTCTTGATGAAACCACTGTGGATACTGAGATACCCTTTGAACTTGGAATCATTTAGATGAGTGTTTCTCACAAAGTCTAGTTCAAAGGCTGGGTCAGAGTTACCCGAAGAACACGTTTACAGTGCAGGTTCCGCATCCTCTCTTTCAGAGGTCTGAGCCACTGACTGGTTCTAGGGAAGGACTCGGGAATCTATCTGCATTTTGAATACCACAAAAAGGGCTGCCAGATTTAGCAACCCTAACCCCAGATGATTCTATGACATTAGAGTTTGAAAACCACTTGTTTGGATTAAAAAAAGAGAAGATATTAAAATTGTGTATGATTGTTAGACAGGATGCTTGTGTGTAACAATCAGCCAAACACATGAA